CGTAAACTCCTATCGACAGATTGACTGATAGTTATCTATCCATGTTTAGCATACATTTGTGCGAAATCCTATTGTAGAAATGGGGTTGGTGAAGCTCTCATTTCCACTAAAACAGAAGAGACGACAGGGAAAATTAAAAAAAATTTTTTTTTAATCACACACCTGAACAGCAGACGGGGCGAACCCCATAGTCATGAAGACCTGTTGATCAGTGGTGAAAATCGGCAACTTAAGCCCCGCACTAGGTTAAGCGTGCTATTCAACCGGACGACTGCAGCGCTGCCTGCATCACCAAAATGAGGTGGCAGTGGTGGGGCTCGAACCTCGGACCACAGAGTCCAAAGCACACCGGTAACAGTGACTAAAACCACTGCGTTGGAGCCCCTCACCCCGAGACCTGGTAGTACACCATTGTCTTCTGTGTGAGGTTGGATCCACACGGTGGACAGCAAAGGCAAACAGCATATTGGAAACACGTAAAGGACAGAGACATCGATAGACAGGAGAAAAAAAACCCAAAGGGCAGAGAAAGCGAACACTTTGTCTCCACACGTTCCCATCTGATCAGGAATTAGCTAGTTGTGTTGCATACTTGGGTGCTGCACCGATCAGATTCAGTTTGAACAACCGTTAACCATGTACTTCCGTGCTTCGCTTTTGGTTGCAGTCGTTTGGCCGCCAATTTGAATGAACAATGGGAGAAAGACAAAAAAGTTGAGAGTAGAGTCCAATAGAAAATGGAGAGTCTCAGTGGACTAATGTTGCAAACAAACTGAGAAAATGTACGAACGCCACTGCGTACGACTCCAAGNCCAAGCCATATCACACTCAGTTTCTCTGACCATTGATTACGCTGATCCCTAGGTCCCCATCCAGGGAGCCTAACGGGGACCTATGTAACCCAGTCTACTGATTAGGTTTTTATACCTCAGTCCCAGGTCTTAGCTTGACCACCCTTGACTTTTTTCCAACCGCCACCTGCCTCGGCAAATATCGCTCGCCCTGGCAACTTATTTGGTGACGTGCGTAACACATGCCCAACCAATGTAGCCTATGGAGGTCGACTACTTGCACCAGTGGACGACCGCGACTACCTAAAACTCCGCACCTAATTTCAGCATGACTCGTCCGATTACCCCACCAGACTCTTGCAATGCGACGTAGACAGCGGTGTTCGAACGGCGACAGTTTACCTTTATCCTGTTTTCTTAATTACCAAGTTTCTGCACCGTAGAGCAGAACTGGCCGAACTACTGCACTGCAAATTCGACCTTTCAGTTCATTTGTTACAATCATTAACCATGCACTTTCGTGCACCAGCTTTGGTTGCCCATTTGCATAAAAAAGCGAAATGAAGATTGGAATGTCGAAGTAAATTCACGCGGAAGATGGGGAATTCATATAGGAAAATAACGAGTGGATGCACGAGCGCCACTGTTTACGACACCCAGCCATATCACTCAGTGTAGCTAACCATCGGTGACCATCATCCGGAGGTCCCCAGCCAGGGAGCCTAACGGGGCCTATGTGACCTAGTGTCCTGGTTAGGGTTTTCATACCTTCATACCAGGTCTTAGCTTGACCGCCCTTCGTTTTTTTCCAATCGCTACCAGCCTTGGCAACCTACCTGGTGACATGCGTAACACATGTCCCAACCAGCATAATCTATGGAGGTCGATCACTTGCTCTAGTGGAAGACCCCGACTACCTAAAACTCTACGCCTAACCTCAGCATTGCTAGTCCGGTCAACCCTTCACAGAAAGCTGGATTTCGCGACGGCGTCACAGATGTCTCAAGTTAGCAAATGTCAAATGAGCCTTCTGTATGTGAGCTGACACTTTGTCCGTGATGCGTCCACCCAAGTAACAAAACGGATTCATTCACTTGCTCCACTGAATTGTTCAATTTTTCTCTTCGATCTTACTTTCAATCATCTTGTTTTCCTCCTTTGGTTCACCCAAATGGGCAGTCAAAAGAGTCGCACAGTAATGCATGCTTAATGATTGTGTTCAACTGAAACTGAAACAGTTAGAGTGAGTCTGGGAACAGAACGCTCATCGGGTGGAAGCAAAAATTGTGATGATGATGCATCAGACACACGTAAGCAAAAGTACCTTCGATCACTACTCGGGAGCGACTCGAACGCGTCGCGTGAGATCGCATGACCACAAGTAAGTCGAACGGGGCCGTTTGAAGCGGTGGTCACTTCTTTGATAACCGGACAGTGGAAAATATTGTGCCGATGCGCGACCGGATCCAGTTCCACGGCAATCTGCAAAGCGTGAGGGACAAATAATAATAATAATAACAATAAACGGCATACATCAGATACGACTTCGATCACTAGGGTGCAGATATTAATTCATTTGTTCATTCTCGACATTGAATGGCATATCGTGCATTTGAAACTGCCTCCTCCCCCGTCTCTGGTTTTGACAAAGATTCACCTTTCAGGCTGTAGTTATGACAATGTCAGCGAGCTTAGACGGTACTCAAAAAGTTGTTTACTAACTGTCGCCTCCCGGTGTCCTTCGTAGATCTACGAACTTCTTTCCTAAAGAAGAGGTTTGTGCGAAAAGCAAGAAACAGTGTGCTGTTACTTGTGTGTCTCATGCATACTAATTCCTTGGTCATGCACCCAGACAAACACGGAAGGACCGGTGCTGCTCCCACTTGATTAACTAACTTCCTATCGATCGCACTGATTGTCGAACCTTTTACCCTCTCATTCGTCACACTGCCTACGAGTCAAGCATATATATATATATATACATATATATATATATACATATATATATATATACATATATATATATATA